TCTGTGTGTGTGTGTGTGTTAATGATGATGTTTGATGTGTGTGTGCAGGGTTCGTCAGGAAGCAGACAGCTGAGACCCCCTGCTGCAGGAAACACAGGTCTGTAAAACACACACATTTGTTTCTAGCTGTCCTGATGATTGACAGCTGTCAACATCCTGTGTGTGTATTTCCCTCAGGCATCGACAACCAACATGGCGGCTCTGCTACTGTCAGGCCTAAGGGTTGCAGCTACTGCAAGGTGCTGCTGGGAAACGGAGTCCGCATCGTCAAAGAGCTCAAACAGGTTGGACCCTGCTGACAACTGACTGTGAGAAGGTGAAGCCACAGACGTGTCAGACAGGAAGTGACTGTTTGTTTGTTTTCCAGGAGGGTGGGTCCGGACCAGGATCCACGCTGGTGTTCTGTAGTCCCAACTGCTCTGCTCTCCACACGTCTGAGCTCCAGAGCCAAACACCTGCAAACAAGGTGAGAGATCACGTCTTCCTGTTGAAAATTGATTATTGATTTGTTGTGTGTGTAGTGACACACCTGACTTATGGCGAGTGATTAATGACATCATAACGTCTCTTTGTCAGCCTGTGGTCCCCGTCCTGCTGTCCGGCTCAGAGCATCCCCCTCCCTCCAGAATGCAGCATCAGTACAACAACAACATGTCATCCATTGCTGTGCACTCCCTCCCCCACACTCCCACCACCTCCTCCTCCTCTTCCCCAACGCTCTCCTTCCCGCCCGCCTCAACCATCACCATGGAGACCAGGCCCCGTGTGGACAGCCTGAAAGTGAGTGTGGTCACCGACTGTATCGTAAGTTAGTGTTTGATCAGCGGTGTGATTGATTGAATAACCTGCTGACTCTGATTGGTTTAAAGATGAAGGTGAAGCTGAGGCCCCACCCCCGCGCAGTCCCGGGTGGAGAGGACTTGACTCGACACGGGAAGAGGATGAAGAGTTCCCGCTGGAGACGCTGGAGCGTTCGCATCACATTTAGCCGGTTAGCATCACACTGAACTAGTTGCCCTGTTGGCATTAGACTGAACTACTTGGCCCGTTGGCATCATCCTGCATGTCTCTCTTTTTACTCAGGGGTCCGGGCATTACTAATGAGGCAGTTGCCGTGCCAACAGAGGAAGAGGTGGATCTGATGTTGAAGAAGTTGGGGGCGTGCCTTCAACCTGACCCATTACCCAAAGACCAGCGGAGGTGCTGCTTCTGTCACCAGCTGGGTGACGGACAGACAGACGGACCGGCGAGACTCCTTAACCTGGACCTGGACCTGTGGGTGAGTCTGACGATAGTCTGGACCCGTCTGACGATAGTCTGGACCCGTCTGACGATAGTCTGGACCAGCTTAGTGTCAAGTGATAACCTGTCTTTGTGTCTCTGTGTGTCAGGTGCACCTGAACTGCGCTCTGTGGTCCAGTGAGGTGTACGAGACTCAGGCCGGCGCTCTGATAAACGTGGAACTGGCGCTGAGACGAGGTTTGTCACTGCGCTGCGCTCACTGTCAACAAACTGGAGCCACGAGTGGCTGCAACCGTCTGCGCTGCACCAACACCTACCACTTCACCTGCGCACTGCAGGCGCACTGCACCTTCTTCAAGGTGAATACACTGTTTTGTAGCAGTGATTTACAGCAACACCCTGCAACTGACACACACGCACCTGCTCTGCCTGCGTCTCACTTTGTCTTTGTGTCCTCCAGGATAAGACGATGTTGTGTCACTTTCACAAGCCCAGGACGGTTCCTCTCAGCGGGGACAGATCTTCCAGCTGCTCCCCCTCCTCCACTCCAGGGCTGACCCCCGACCCTGCGGCAATGCTGGTCTCTGACCCGTACGACTCGGAGCTACGGTGCTTTGCTGTGTTCCGGCGTGTGTACGTGCAGCGGGATGAGGCACGGCAGATCGCAGCTGTGGTGCAGCGCGGCGAGCGGCAGTACACCTTCCGAGTTGGCAGCCTGCTATTTCGCGCTGTCGGCAGGCTCCTCCCTCAGCAGATGAGGGCCTTCCACAACCAGACCGCCATCTTCCCTGTTGGTTACCATGCCAACCGCATCTACTGGAGCATGCGCCACAGCAGCAGGTAAAGTGTGACTCATGGATGAGGAGACTCAGGGTCATTGTTCCTGAACCGTGTGCAACACAGAGCATCAGCTCTTTAATGACTAATACTCCTGCTCCTCAGACGCTGTAAGTACATGTGCTACATCGAGGATGATGACGGTCGGCCGCTGTTTAAAGTCAAAGTGGTGGAGAAAGGACACGACGACCTCATCCTGACCGGACTGACGCCTAAAGGTAAACATGGCAGGTGAAGTGATTCCTGCACAAACAGGAAGTGGTAGCTGTGACTGTTGCATCAGATCAAATCATTATTTTCACGATCGTGTTTAAACCATAATGTTTCATTCTTCATGCATCAGAAAGTCAAGACCTCGTCATGTTGTAGGTCCTGACCTCGTCATGCTGTAGGTCCTGACCTCGTCATG